CTTGATAGGAATTTTGATCGAGCGACTTACAATTTGCTTACAAAAATATTTGTCAAAATCCTCTGCGAAAGATGTGCTGCTCGGAAATCCTAGCTCCCCTGGCGGAAAATGGGTGGAAAAGTTATAGTTTGAATTGCAAGTCGAATAAAAGTACAAATAAATCTAATATGTCTATATATACATATATATACACATATATATAACCTCTGGCGGAAAATGGGGGGAAAAGAAATAAAAATTCAAATATATCCATATACGCATATATATATATATATATATATCCCCTGGCGGAAAAAGGGTGGAAGATTCATAGCTTTAGTTTTAAGTAAAATAAAAATTCAATATCTTCCAATATACATATGCATATATCTAGGGTATGTCCAAGTCAAGCACACTGGAAATGCTTTTCAGTTTTTTCGTTTTTTTGTGAAATTGGCATTTATTGGGAAAAGCTGATGTGCGGCTTGCGTGTGTGTGTGTGTGTATGTGCGTGTGTGTGTGCGTGTGTGTGGCAGGCCCCTCATTCGTTAGCTTGTGTGGTCCACCCACGAGCAGCAAGACAGAGGGGGGGGGCAGACCACCCAAGGGCAGGGTTCATGCAATGCGTTAAGATGCTTATACAAATGAAAAGAAGAAGAGGCAAAACGTAGGGGCATTTGGGTTGGAGAAGCACCTGGCTGTGGAAATTCAATGATTAATGATTGTTTGTTGTCGTCTTTGTTGTTGTTGGCTTGTTGTCCGCATCGGATGTGGCAATCCTCAAACCCAATCACTCAATCGTTCATTTCAATTAGCCAATTACGCATGCCAATTGCCAATTGCCGAGCCAAGAGCCGAGAGCCAAGCCAAGCCGAGAACTGACAATTACAGGCCGATGCCGTAATTTGCAGTTGCCGCCGCGCCAATTTGTCCAAGTGGAGCAAGTGCAACGCGTTGCACGGAAGTTGCACAAGCACACAGAAGTTGACTCCAAGAACCGATAGCCAGCCCTCCCCCCTCCCCCCCCTCTCCAGGTTCGCTCCAATGAAAATTGTCCGCATTGGTCAGTTACTAATTTGCGAGCGAAAAACGGAAGTCGCCCGTGGCCAGTGTTTACTGTGCTGAGCGGCTGGGTGGTGCGCTGGGTGTGCCAAATCGGAAGTTGCGAGTGCCATCTCAAAGGGGTGGGCAGGGGGGGAGGAGAGTTGCATATTTTACTTCCGTTTTCGAGCAATTGACCCTGCTGAAGGCGCCGCCCGATCTCAGCATCAGCATTGTATTGAATACGAAAACAGTTTTCTTCCTGTCAGCGCTGCAGCAAGGGAAATGTTTCCTGCGCCTAGTCTTATCTATAATTAGAATGGGGGGGAAAAAAAAACAGTTCTGAAATATCAAAAGTTGCCTTTGAAGAAGAGATCGCTTCTCATGGAAGTCGAATTTCTTCTTGCAGCACAAAATATTTCCATAAAATTTCGAAAATTTTCAAAAAGTAGAAAACATTTGCTGAAAAGTTGACAGAACTTGTCTAGAAAGTGAAATGTGTGTTTCGTGGCAAGAAAACTCTCTGCAGTTTTTGAAAGTAATTATTTGTTTTAATTTAATGAACTCTTGGCGTTCAGTTCTGGCAAGTGTTTAGCGTCATTTAGTGCTGGCTTTTTAGGCCTTTTTGGCGGCCAAAAGACGCGTCTGTGGAATTTTTGAAGCCCCGGGCCAGGCTCATGTGGGGTCCCGTTTAATTGGCCCGGCAACGTGGCCTAATGAATGTGTTTATGCGCACACAAAAAGGGCGGCATCTTTTGACCCGAATCTAAGTATGATTAAATGGGAGAACCCGAGCGAGCAAATTGATTGAGAACCGTGCGGCAGTCCGTGATTGTTTCTGGAAATGGTAGCTGCGCGGATTTGGGCAGCGGACTTGTGGGAAATGTGATAAGCTCATTTGTTGCCGTTGTTGCGCTTCTTATTTTATACCCTGAACCCATTAAAATGGATATAAGGGTATATTGTATTTGTGCGAAATCCAAATGTATGTAACAGGCAGAAGGAAGCATCTCCGACCCCATAAAGTATATATATTCTTGATCAGCATCAATAGCCGAGTCGATCTAGCCATGTCCGTCTGTCTGTCCGTCCGTCTGTCCGTCCGTCCGTATGTATGAACGCAAGGATCTCAGATCCTATAAGAGCTAGAGACTGTAGATGCTCCTAGTTCCCGCGCAGATCGAGTTTGTTTCCGATAATCGATAACTTGCTCCGTTTCCAAGCAATCGATAAAAATCTATATCGATATCCTGTTTTTTGGGCAATTTTGGTAAATAATAAGAGCTAGAGTCACCAAACTTGACATATAGCTTCTAAAATAAAATATATATATATGCATTTGATGTTGGAAGAAGAGGGTTCAGGGTATCCCCTAGTCGGGAGCTCCCGACTAGAACCTCTTACTTGTTTTTTATCAGAGCTCTGTTCAAGCCCTTTGGTGGCCTGCGGCTGGAGGTCATGCAAATGTTGCGGCTGCTTTCTTAATTGATTTCCCGACCCGTCACAATCAAACAGCTCGAACATTAATCGTTTCGGCCCGTTGCCACAAGCTCTCAAGCAGCACAAAAATAAAAAACCAAATACATATCAAAATTGAAAAGCTCAATAAATAACGATTCAGTCGTTTATTTATTACGGGCCAAAGTAGTTCCATTCGACGCATATTTCGGCTCTGGCCCAGCTGCAAATATATAGATGAGCCCAGAGCCCATTAAAGCTGGCCAGATGGGGCATATTGGTTTTGTGCGCATGTTCGAACACATAAGCCATACAGATTCGTGTGTCTTGTGTTTCTACGTGCCAGATCATCTATTGATGAACATCTTCTAATCTTTCCCACTTTTTATGAAATCGATCAAAATGACTATTAAGCGCATTCTCAAGATATATAGTCTTGTGCTTCGATATTTACACACATTTCAATGCCCTATTTATGCTCCGTAAATTTCATACAAATCGGACAATAGATAGCGAAGTTATAAAAGAATGCATTTCCCATAATATGGGCGTAATGGGCTAAGAAGAAGCACAGTCGCTGCATAGGCAGCGTGTTTTGTGTTTGCAGGGTATTTGCTAGTCGAGCACAGCCGATTAGAGAACTCTGTATTGCCTACTGTTGCTGCACTTTTCTTGTGCCTCTCTCTCCCTCTCTCTCTCTCTCGTGTAACGCGATCGCAAGCCAATGACACCAGCAACAACAACAACAACAACAACAACAACAACAACAACAACAACAACAACAACAACAACAACAAGAACAACAACTGCGCGAGATTCTTGAGAACTTTTTGCGCCTTTGCGGTTGGCCGTGGTGCCGTTTTCTAGCGGCACTTTGTCGTAGGCGGCTGATCACCGGCAGCCGCACAAGTGCGAGACTCAACAGTGCCTGGCATTCCAGCACCCCTCCTCACTCTCTCCCCCACCCCTTCTCTCTCTCTCTCTCCCACCAATTTGCAATTTGCTTGCAATTGATAAGACAATTATTGTCGTCACTTTTTGCTTGATTGATATCTTCAGCTTTATCGGCGGCTCTCAATGAGGCTCGTTGGTCTAGGGGTATGATTCTCGCTTCGGGTGCGAGAGGTCCCGGGTTCAACTCCCGGACGAGCCCACAGCTATACTCTCTTTTATTCATATTTTTTCAAATTCGATCATTTTATTGATATGGGCAAAGAAACATTTTATATTTACAATAATTGCATATCTAGAAAGTTTTGCTGTTAAGATTGGATTTTGGGAGAGCAGCTTCCATTAGGGGGTATCTCCAATTCTTGAAGATTCTTCAACATAAGCGAAAAATTTGAGTAAAACGAATTGCAAATATAAATAAATACTTATATTAAACATTAATTTATAAGCTATGAACAGTTGAGTTCCTTTGCGATCGATTTTTTGATTGCAATCAAATTTTTTTTTGTCTGCTGTATAACTGCTTTGGCCCAAATAAGAATTGTTGTGCTTCTTCTTTTGCGGACCTTCGATTTGTTGTTGCCAAAATGATTTAAGCGAACGTTGTCAGCGATGCCTGCGATAACGAGCCGCAGCGGTAGAGAAGCAAGAAGAAAAAGAAGCAGCGGCAACAGAAGAGTGAGAAAAGGAAGTAGACGCAGCAAGTGACTCACCTGGCCAGACAGGAAGTCACTTGCCAAAAAAATGTAACGAAAACAAAACTGAACAAAAGAAAATTTGCCCGTTCTGGCAAAGTAATTTGCGGGCGTGTGAACCGCGGTGGGTGAAGCTCTTAAGAGGAGGGTCATCGGCGAATGCCTGCCTCTGACTCAGACGAATCGACGACCCGGCTAGAAATATGACTAACTCCAGGCCTACTCCGAGCTCGAGCTATTTGTATAACCCTTGGCAGAGGGTATTATAATTATGTATCGAGATGTGTAACGCTTGGAAGAAGACATCTCCCAGCTCATAGAGTATATATATTCTTGATTAGTAGCCACAGTTGAGTCGATATAGTCATGGCCGAATGAGGCTTGTTTCTTATTTGGATGAGGTCCCTAAACGATCTTCTTCTTCTTGAGCCTCCCGACTGCAGCACACCTCAGCCGACGAGGCACTGCTTGAGGAGGACGTCGAGTAGAATTCCCCATCTAGTAGAATTCCAAGGTACTTGGCGCTTCTGGCAGGATGAACGGGGGCGGGCCACTGCAGGAGCCTAGCCACGTCTCAGCTCATAGTTGACCCGGCGAGCCCGGCTCTCAAGCAGCTCTCCATCTGATAAAGGGCATGTGAAAGGGCAATTGAAAGCAGAGTCAACTGTTTATGATCTTTATACCCTGTAGATGGCAAGCAAGTGCGCTGAACCATAGAGCTTAAAACTTGTTGGAGGAGACGAACTCTCTTCCCCCTCATTTATTTGACTGTGCTTGTGGTTGTTATTGCTGTTGAGTCAGGTTGTTGAATTTCCAGACTCGACACGCATGTGAGAAAGATGTCAGAATTTGTTGATACTGACGAGACTGAAACTCAGCTAGCCTCAGCCACAGAGCAGCGAGACGCATGCGCTGCTTGTGGGGCTTGTGCCAACGATGAAATTTGGCAAGACCTTTGAGACGCACCTGACCATCGAATGGCGGCAGCAGTACATGCGATATACGGTGAGCCAGTTGCGAGCACAACAGTTCTAGTTAGCCCAGGCATCTGGCAATCTAACAACAATCCGCCATTCCAAGGACCTGAAGACGCTGATACGGCGCGGCGTGGACGGTGCCCCAACGGGGGATGCGGTAAGCCAAGCGGAGCTCAATGCCTACTATGCCGCCTTCGAAGAGCAGTTCTTTACGGAGTGCCAGCACGAGCTGACACGGGTAAACAATTTCTTTCTGGAGAAGCTGGCCGAGGCACGACGCAAACATGGCACACTCAAGCTACAGCTGTTGGCAACGGCGCGAGCACCTGGCCACACAGCCAGCTCCTATTCCCTGAATTCGCAACGGCCGTCGGCGGTGAGCGTGCGCGCGAATAGCAGCAGCAGCAACCGGAAGCTGATGACCCAGCGACAGCTGCGCAATGCCTATAGCGAATTCTATTTGACGCTGGTGCTGTTGCAGAATTTTCAGTCCCTGAACGAGACCGGCTTCCGTAAGATCTGTAAGAAGTATGACAAGCATCTGAGATCGACGCGCGGCGCCGACTGGATGGAGCGCAACGTTATCTACGCCCCCTTCACTGATCAGCACGCCCTACAGCGCATGGTTGTCGAGGTCGAGGAGCTGTATACCCATTATTTGGCCGGGGGCGATCGATCGCGGGCGATGACCAAGCTGCGTGTGCCGCCCCTCGGCCAGCCGACGCCGGCGCGGATTGTCTTCCGTGCCGGTCTGGCTCTGGGCATGTTCCTTATGCTCGCGTTCACCACGCTCTTCAGCTGTGAGTCTCCATCACTTCACCTTCAACTAGCCAGTCCCTTTCATTCCAGCTAGGGATGTAAACAAAACTCATTGATGTATCGAGCTGCATCGATATCGATCGCACGATTAATCCTGATTTTATCGATCGCTTTTCGATAGTCACGATTGTTTATCGATGTTAATGCAATCGTGATTATTCCGCATAGTTATCGGCAAGTTCCATGCGGGGCTCAAGACATCCGAGACTCAATTTTGAGTGGCTCTATCGATAGTTTTTAGGTTGATGATCTCATCGATCTTCGATTTTCGATACCGGAATAATCGCGATTACGGAACGTGAATATCGATCGATGATCCCCTATGATTATTCCTATCACAGTTTCACGTCTCTACAATATCAATCGATGATCGATTCCAATAATATATTTTTTCGATAGATTTCACATTGGTGACAATATCCAGCCTATCACACTTGCATCTCCATCAAGGAATATCGATCGATGTTCTTTAACGTTGATGCTTAATTTTGATAACTCTTATCGATAGGTTCCGCATTGTTCCTTCTGATTATCGTTACTTGGTTCGATCGGTCGATCGGTCGATCGGTCGATAGATCGATTGTTGCATCGATGCATCGATATCGAGGCAGTGCGACTTACATCCCTAATCGCAACTTAACTTAACTAAAACGCAGTGCCCGTTCACGCTTAGACTTCCGGAGGCCGCCGGTGCAGGGCAACATTGAGGCGTTCATGCGCCTCTACCGTGGACCCTTCACGTGGGTGATATTTAACTTTTATATGGCCGCCAATGTGGCCGGCTGGCAGCGAGCGGGCGTCAATCATGTGCTCATCTTTGAGATCGATCCGCGCAGTCACCTGCAGCCGGCCACATTTCTGGAGATCGCTTGCACCTTTGGCCTGCTGTGGACGCTGTCAATATTGGGCTTTCTGTTCCACGATCTGATACATGTGCACGATCCGTTCGTCTTCCCGCTGGCGCTGACCCTGATCATGATCATGCTGCTGATTAATCCGCTGCCTATCATGAACTGGCCCGCCCGCTGGTGGACGATGCGGCTGGTTGGGCGCGTCATAACCGCACCGCTGCACTATGTGGGATTCGCCGACTTCTGGATGGGCGATCAAATGAACTCCCTGGTGACCTGCATGGCCGACTACTATTATATTGTGCGCTTCTATGTTGTCTGCTGGCTGCGCTATGCCAGCGTTGACTTCTGCTTCGAGGAGGACATGTTTGTGCCCATCTCACGCTGCCTGCCCGCCTGGTTTCGCTTTGCCCAGTGCCTGAGACGGTTCCGGGACAGCGGCTCAAAGTCGGCCAGCTATCTGATCAATGCCGGGAAATATTCAACAACCTTCTTTGTGGTCTTCTTTTCGACAATGCGCGGACGCACGGATGGTACGGAATAACTGCTGCCGCCCTAATCTCAACCCGTTGACACTCACTCTCTGGCAGTCTTTTGCAGATGGCTATGCGAATACGTTTAGCAATCCGTACACCTGGTTCTTTATACTGAGCTACATTGTGTCGACCATCTATTGCTATCTGTGGGACGTGTTCAAGGACTTTGGCATATTCAAGATCTGGCGGGGCGAGCATTTGTTTTTGCGCGAGAAGCTTGTCTATCCGCAGGCCTTCTACTACTTTGTCATCATTGAGAATCTGATCCTGCGCTGCTTTTGGGCTGTCGAGTTTCTGGTGCTCTACCACAAGCTGATCACGCCCTACAACATCAAGACCTTTGCCAGCATCCTAGAGATCACGCGGTGAGTTAGCCCCAGCTTCCAGCTTCAGCTCACGGCTTTCTCTGTTCCGTAGTCGCTTCATATGGAATTATATACGGCTGGAGAATGAGCATTTGTATAATTGCGGCCATTTTCGTGCCACGCGCGACATCCATTTGGCCGCGCTCAATTCCCAGCAGGAGCGCATGCTCGAGAATATGATGGGCGAGCCAGACGGCGCTGCGCCCGGCACCGCCGCCCACGCCGGCCGCAAGCCCGACGAACGTCGTCGTCTGGGCAAGGAATACTTCTAGGTGCTCAAACGCAGCTGTTCCCGGTCTGTTATTCGCCATGCGCCATGCGCCATTCGCCATTCGACATGCTCATGTGTGTGCGTGTGTCCATTGGCCCGTTTGCCGTTAATGTTAATGGCCCTCCGTCATCGTCGTTGTCATTTAAGCCACTTCTTTAATTAATTCATTTGTGCAAAAAGAAAAAGCAAAAGAAAATAAAATAAACGAACCCCCAGAGAAAGAGGAGCGCGATCGGGCATCGGGCATCGGGCATCGGGCTAAGCTGCGACACGCGCCAAACCGGTTGCGCAGCTGCACCCAAATGCAGCCGGGCCAACAGAGGCTCCTGCCCTGCTCCTGCCCTGCTCCGTTCAGCTCTATACGAGTAGCAGTTGTCATTGGGACTGAAGCCAATGGATCTATCTGGTTGTTGTGCAGATCTTTTAATTGCCGCCTTGCGCTTGTTGCTCTTGAGCTTTGATTTCGACTTCTCTCTTTGCCTTTCCATTTAATTAATGAAGCGATTAGCTGGCGACCGACTCGCCGAGCGGAGCCACTCAATTTATGCTGGCTCATCTGCTCGTTGCTCCAACTCATCATAAAAAAACACAAAAGACAACAACAGCAGATCCTCATTGCTGCAGCTTGTTCTCCGTCCACTTATCTCGTCGAGATCTCTCTGTTTTTTTTTTGCTACTCAGCTACTCAAAAGCAAAAAAACTCTGTCTAGATTTAGATATGTCTTGAAGGAAAGCTTTAACAAAGTTGTATTAGCTGTAACTTTGGGCACCCCATCAACTATTGTCATGACTTCGCTTGATTTTCCTCACAGTAATCAATTATCGATAGCTGATTGTGACTGTCCTTTATCAATTATCGATAGCTGATTGTGAGCATGTCCTTTATCAATTATCGATAGCTAATTGTGAGCATGTCCTTTATAAATTATCGATAGCGGATTGTGAGCATGTCCTTTATCAATTATCGATAGCTAATTGTGAGCATGTCCTTTATAAATTATCGATAGCGGATTGTGACCATGTCCTTTATCGATAGTTTACGCGAGGAATGCCCCGGGCCTAGCCTTATTGATATAACGTTTTCGCCAGGATTTTCGAAGGCTTATTAGCCACGATTGAGGGACTTATATTGATCGATGCTGGATATATCGAACTTCATCGATCTATTAATCAATATGCGCTCGTGCGACTTATATTCTATTTATCGACTATCGATAAAATGCATAAAATCGCATTGCTAGGAAAAATTAGACAAAAATCATGTTAAAATTATATACATATTCACATTCGACAAAGTTTGGTTAGTTCATATTCTGGGAAGGGCATTTACTAATTAAATTTTGGTTCGAAACCAATGTCTAAAGCAATGATAGATGAGAAACCAAACTCAAAAGGAGGATCAGAGTTTTTTTTTTTTTGGGGGGGGGGGAGTGGGTAACACATTCGAACATTTCTATGTTCATTTGGGTCGGGTCGATTTCAGCGTAGATTAAATCAAAATTGTTAAGCGTCTTTGTGTTTGGGTTTTTATTATTTATTTGTTGTTGTCAGACTCTCATGGATTTGTTTGTTTGTGTGTGTGTGTGTGTGTGCGTGAACGGGAATGCGCAGATAATCGCTTTATTGACTCTGACTCGGGTCATTTGATAGTCCTTCATTCAATGGCAGCTCTGTATGTTTAATGCTGTCTGTCGTTTTGATGCTAAGCCAGATCCCATTTCAGATATGAACATTGTGCACTTTCAACTGAACTCTGACCTGCTAATGGCTTGACTCTAACTGGTCGCAAACAGGTTCAAGTCCTGGCAACAGTTGCAGTTGAGGATGACACTCCAATTGCGGGGACTGGGACTGGGATAGAGACTGGCACTGGAATAGGAACTGATGAAGGGACCAAGACTAAGACTGAGACTGAGGTTGAGACTGAGACTAAGACTGAGACTGAGATAGAGACTGGGATAGAGACTGGGACTGAGACTGAGACTTATACTGAGACCAAAGCTCAGACTGGGACTGAGACTGAGACTGGGATAGAGACTAAGATAGGAACTGGGATAAAGACTGGGATAGAAACTGGCACTGGAATAGGAACTGATGAAGGGACTGAGACTAAGACTAAGACTGAGACTGAGATTGAGACTGAGAATAAGACTGAGATAGAGACTGGGACTTGGACTGGGATAGGAACTAGGGAAGGCACGGAGACTAAGACTGAGATTGAGACTAAGACTGAGACTGAGACTGGGACTGGGATAGAGACTAAGATAGGGTCTGCGATAGAGACTGGTACTTGGACTGGGATATGAGCTAGGAAAGGCACGGAGACTAAGAGTGAGATTGAGATTGAGACTAAGACTGAGACTGAGACTAAGACTGGCGTCTGGCCTGGTCGATTGGCGTTGTCCGTGCCAATTTATCTGTCACTCGAGTCGTTTTTCTGCTGCTTTCATATTTGACTTGGGCACGAGGCAGACATAAATTTGCCATCAGCATTGCCGTTGTTGTTGCTGTTGCTGCTGTTGCTGCTGTTGTTGCTGGTAATGACAACTGCAATTTATGCTGCTTGTCGCGACAACAGCGGCAACTATGGAGCTGCCAGGGAGCAGGCGAGGCAGGAGGACAGGATGTGGCAAGTGCTGTGTACAGTTGCCGCTAGATGTTGCCAATGTTGTTGCCCATGTTGTTGTTGTTGTTGTTAATTGTTGTCGTGTGTCGTCGTCTTTGCTGTTCTTGTTGCGAGAACAACAACAATAGCCAACTAACTGGGCTGACTGCGCGTGCAATATGCCAGGCAGATATTGTTGTTGATCTTGGTACAGTTTGCTGCACACGCGCCAAAAGCGGACCAAAACAAATAAACAAACAAACAAACCAGTCCAAAGATAACAAGCGACTAACAAACAAACAAATCCAGTCCAATCGAAGCCAACAACCGACCAGCTCCGACTCCGACTACAGCTCCGACTTCAGCTCTAGTTCGAGGGCCTGGCCAAACAAGGCGTTCGACGTCCGTGTTCAATTGGAAATGGAAAATTGCAGCTTGGCCACATAAATTACGCAATTTTCGCAGCAAAAATTGTCAACCTTTGCTGGGCGTGCCCAAGACTGACAAGCAACGCCTGGCAAATGCCCTGTAATCCGCCTTACTTTCGACTTGAATTTATAGCTAAATTATAGCTAAATATCGCTAGCTATCAAATCGATACGAAATACTGTCTCGGGTATTGTGCAGAATGTGGGCAGCTAATTTTGGTAAATATACGCTTAGATATAGCTGGATAGATGAACATGTTTCCCACATGCCTGAAGATCGGACAACAAGCGCCGAAAAAGACGCTTCTTTCAGTATGGCACTAAGGAAATCAGAAGTCCAGAAGCAGGACAAATAAGCTGAAATAACTGTGGGGCTGCTCTCACTGGGCATAGGGTATCTCCTGGTCGGGCACTCCCGTCTCTCGCGTTTTATTTTATATGCAAAAGTTGTAGAAGAAACTATGTACATGCCAAATTTGAGGTGCCTAGCCGCAATAATCTTCGAGATATGCTCAAAAAACTTGTGCTCAAAATCGATAATTATCGATTTTGTTTGAATTTGAGAAACTGGAATTAGGAGTAGAACATTTATAGCTATATAACCATATTTATTTTGTTTCTATTATAATTTATTAGAATTGTTATGTTATTATAAGATTATTCCAAGTTGTCTACCAGAATTCCAGAGAAATTTTAAGCATAATTTATTTAGCTGAGAGATAAATGCAAATTTGATGAATATGGGAAAATCAAGGTGTCATTAATTGGGCGACCAGCTTTTTCGAATATTTCTTTGAATATATATTTTTGTTTTTTATTATTATCATTCGACTCTCGCTCATGCATAAATTAACGAAGGCGTGAATATTTAGAAGTTTCTACAAAAAAGAAAAGCTCAAACTACTTTCTTTATATATATATATATATACTTTTTTTGGGTACAAACTGCGCAGAGATTGTCGAGTCTGCGCAGTATTAGCTGCATTTCTGCTTCAACAACAGCAGCAGCAGCAGCAGCAAGAAGAAGAAGAAGATGTAGAGGAAGAAGCAGCAGCAGCATCAGAAAAGGTCTCAACTGTTGTCCAAAGTCCAACGACTATTTTTGGTAGTCGGACTTGGGCCGCAGTTAAAGCCCTTTTTTGCAGTCGAGCCTCAGCTCGTGCTAAATTTAGCCAGGACGCGTCCACGACACATGCCAGACAACATGCAACACACACACACACACAGACACACACTTGGTTGTGCGAAACGAGTTTTGCGCTCCTTTTCCTGGTTTTTTTCTCCAGCTCCTTCAGCTGCCGCTTGGCCAGTTGAGCATGCGCTCCTTTCTCTGCTGCTGCTGCAGCTGTCTCTCCAGCTCCAGCTCCAGCTGGCCGCAGCACGCGTCTGCCCAACCCCCCCTCTGCCCGCTTGCCACCCTTCCACCTGGCCTCTTTCGGTGACAGCTCGCAAGAGGTTTGGCAGACGCTGCTCATAAATTTATGTGGCAGTCATTTGATTGCCCGAAAGACTGCAGACTGCAGACTGGCGACTGCAGTTCGTTCGAGCCATATATTCTTCAGCTTCTACTGCTGCTTCTTATTCTGCTGCTTCATCTTGCTGCTGTTAATTTGTGCGCATAAATTGTCCGTGTGGCAAGTTCTGAGCTGAGCTGCCACCGTTCGAACGGACCGGACCTCACCTCAGCCTCACCCCAGGCTCAGCCTGTGCTGCTTAATTTGTGCAGCTGCGCGAATCGCAATCAGCAGCAGATTTGGCATCATATTTTATTTAATTAATGTGTTATCTTACCGAACGAACATTCGGCATATTCCGCAAGATATTCAATAATTGCCCGTATCGAAAAACAACAAATTCTCTGCACAAATCAAGCTTAAACGTTCCAGCTCTGAACTTTCGCAAAATTCGACGAAGTTAGCATCTCGCTGGAGAACCTTTAGGCATGCAAAGTCTTTCTAAAAGTATTTCGTGCCTAATTCCGACACTCTTAAAAGCTAGATCAAAGTTGAAATATATGTGCCGCAGACTCAGACTCAGACTCAGACTCTTCGCCCATTTCCTAAATATCGATCACATGATTTGGTTTTTAAAGATATATGATTTGTAAAGTTCATAAGAAATGGACTGTAAATACCGAAGTTGGGCAAGAATCGTATTCTATATA